CAAAGCTGAGAAAGAACTGCACACATAGGCCTTAGGAAAGCTAAAGCTAAAGAAAAGCCAAAGAGAACATGGGACAGTGCACAGTGCAAGTCTAAGGACCGAGACCTTAAGAGTTATGCATATGCAGCTTTTAGGTATGGCTGCTGGTTTGCAACTTTGAGCACCAAGGCTTTAAGAGTGCTAAAGAGAGATGGGACAGTGCAAGCCTGGGGACAAAAGACTTTAAGAGCAATTAAGGTAAAGATAAGCTAAGAGCAAACATGGGACAGTGTGAGTCTAAGGAAAGAGGTTTTAAGCAAGGTTTTAAAGAAGGCTTTAGAAACAAGGTTTTAAAGAACTACAAGGAGTAAGGCCTTAAAGAATCAAGATAGAGAAAAAAAGCAATGAGGGTCGTGCGTCCCCAGCCGAGTGTACAACACACCAGATCCCAGACAGACTTTCTGTCTGTCTGTCCTGTATCTTTTCTAAAATTTCCAGTTGCCCTCAGTTAAGCCCAGTTAGTTCCAGTAATAACCAAGAAGCAAGAGAGAAAACCTCGCTCCAGCAAGGGAGGGAGTGTGAGAAACAGCGCCCCCTTCACTCCTTAGCAAGAGAGAGAAAAAAAGCCTGAGAGTTCCATGGAGGCTAAACTATGATGGGGGCGGGGGGCTCTTCTGGAGTATGGACTCCATTGGAGTACCAGATGATCACGGCTATTTCCTAGGCAGTTTCCCTTCCAGTTTGGCTCAACCTGTACCAATCTCAGGTGAAGAAGTGTCCCTTCATGGTCGCCAAGATAATACACTGGGAAGCTTGGGTGGTGCAGGCCCTTGTTCCATGCGCAGACAGAAATCAAAGGCAGCCTCAAGCAGCAAAGGCCAGAAAAGTTTTATTTGCAGAGAAGAGAAAGGAAAGACTGCATGGGGTCATGCAATAGGACCCAGAAACTGGTGGTCTGCTAAGTCAGGTTGGAAATAGGGTTTTATAGCTTTTTTTATTGCCCAAGAGTAGAGATTTTGGCATGGACAGATGTTGAAGGAGAGGTATCTCTCTGGCATGAACACATATTTCTTGGATTGGAGAAGTGTCTCCCTGGCTGGTGTTCCTTTTGGGAACACATGAACCTCCCACAGTCTGCCCTTCAATTCTATTAAGAAGATACTTGTCTTGGAAATTAATAAAACTTGGGAATGTCTTATTTATTTTAGTGGCAGTTTTATAGCCTTGGAAATATTATTTTCCTGAAGTACCACCTCTGTTTTATTCTAGGAATAATTAGTAATATCCTGGAGAGAAAGCTTATATACAATCCCAGTTCTGAACATACATGTATGTCTCTTTACAGTTTGTATAGTTTAACTGTTTACATTATGTAATTTAATCATTACTGAGGCTTAAAAAATTGACTTTCTTAAGGTCAGACATTTAACATGTAACAGAGTTAGTACTCATCTTGTTACTGAGGGAGACTAGAAGTAGGAAAAGTTTGGGGGCTCATTAGGTTGCCTGGGGCTGGGCCAGACCACCCTACCTGGCTGGGAACCACTCAGGCCCCTCTCCAGTCATTCATTATTGGGTGGGAACCTCCTGGGCCTGCCCTCCCATGGGGTAGTATAGGTTTTAAAGGCACCTGAAAAAGAAAAGCATCCTCTCTCTGCCAGTGGACTTCCCCTGTGCCCAGCATGTCCTTTACTTCTTCCCTTTCCTCACTTGGCAGAACAGGTGACTCCCCTTTTCTCAATAAAGCTATCTTACCTCACCCCATCCACGTGTTCTGCTTGGAATTTTCCATTTGGAGCACAAAAACCAGGGTCTTCTAATCACAGACTGCACCAGGGCTGTTAACAGTAGGACAAGTCCTGTGGCACATAATAGAAACTTTGCATCTAAGTGAAGACATCCAGTATTACCATTGAGCCACTAGTGTATGATTGATTACTTTATGTTGATACTGCAATATAGAAGTGAATAAGAAATGTTATTTGTCTTTCAGGAACCTCTCTAATGAGAACCATACTTCTAGACTAAAAAGATTTAAAATGAGGATCAGAAATTACTAAAAAAAAGTATGTGTGTGTATATATATGAGATCTGTGTGTATGTAGAAATATATATGAGAGGAACTATTCTAGGAAAAGTTGTTTTTAGAAGGATTTTAAAGTGACTATACTTACAAAAACAATCTATATGTTCAACGCAATATCCATCAAAATCCCAATGATATTCATCACAGAGATTGAAAAATCTACCCTAAAGTTCATTTGGAAACACAAAAGACCACAAGTAACCAAGGCGATACTGAGCAAAAAGTGCAACACTGGAGGTATCACAATACCTGACTTCAAATTATACTACAGAGCCATGGCAATAAAAACAGCATGGTACTGGCACAAAAACAGACATGAAGACCAGTGGAACAGAACAGAGGACCCAGATATGAATCCACACAGCTATGAAAGGTGCCAAAAACATACGATAGAAAAAAGACAGCCTCTTCAACAAATGGTGCTGGGAAAAGTGTCTATCTGCCTGCAGAAAACTGAAACTAGATCCATGCCTGTCACCCTGTACTACCATCAACTCAAAGTGGATTAAGGACCTTAATATCAGACCCAAAACCTTGCAGTTAGTACACAAAAGAGCAGGGAATACCCTGGAAACAATAGGAATAGGCAAGGACTTCCTCAGTAGAACTCTATCAGCCCAGCAACTAAGAGATAGGATGGACAAATGAGACTACATGAAATTAAAAGTCTTCTGCACAATAAAAGAAATGGTCTGTAAATTGAAGAGCACACCCACAGAGTGGGAGAAAATATTTGCTAGCTATACATCAGACAAAGGACTGATAACCAGAATATATAGAGAGCTCAAAAAACTAAACTCCTCCAAAATCGATGAAACAATAAAGAAGTGGGCAACTGAACTAAATAGAACTTTTTCTAAGGAAGAAATCCAAATGGCCAAAAATGCTCAACATCCCTGGCCACAAGGGAAGTACAAATCAAAACCACACTAAGATTCCACCTCACCCCTGTTAGAATGGCTATCATCAGTAACACCACCTGACAAGATTGGAGAACATTGGAAAGAAAAAAACAAAACAAAAACCCACCACCACCAAATGCTGCCAAGGATGCAGGGAAAAAGGAACCCTCATATACTGCTGGTGGGAATGTAAGCTAGTACAACCACTTTGGAAAACAATATGGAGGCTCCTTAAAAAGTAAACATAGATCTACAACATGATCCAGCAACACCGTTCTTGGGGATATAGCTGAAGGAATGTGACTCAAATTATAACAAAAGCACCTGTACACCCATGTTTATTGTAGCACTATTTACAATAGCCAAGCTGTGGAAACAGCCAAGATGCCCTACAACTGATGAATAGATCATGAAAATGTGGTACTTACATGCAATGGAATTTTACTCAGCCACAAAGAAGAATGAAATTTTTTCATTCGCAAGTAAATGGATGGAACTGGAGAACATCCTCTTAAGCAAAGTTAGCGAGGTTCAGAAGGTCAAAAATCACATATGAAGATTATAGACCCAAAACAAATGCAATAATATTAATGGACTTGGGTCACACACTAAGGGGAGAACATGCAGGGGAGAAATAGGGAAAGGAAAAGAAATCTAAAACTTGAATGTGGTTGATGTGCTCCCTGTTGAGGATCTAATAAAGTAATCTTAAATTAGCAGAGGCCACTATGGAAAGGAGACCAAGAAGTAGCGGAGAGGTCTGGTAGAAACAAACCAATGTGGGTTGTAATTCACAAATGCATGGAAGCAAGCTTCTCTCTGTATAGCTATCTTTATCCCAAACTAGCAAAAACACTATGTCTTTCTTATTATCTCTTATGTTTTCTCTTCAACAAAATCGGAGAAAAGGGTGGACAGGAAGCGGAGGGTTGGGGGTATGTGGGGGTGAGGGTGGGAATGTAGCACAAACAATGTATGCACATGTAAGTAAATGTAAAAATGATAAAAGGAGAAAGAAAAAGATTTTATATGAAAAGCCATAGATTGTCTAATATATTTTGGATATTACTACGTATTTGTTTTGGGGGAAATATTTGACTCATTTTTTAAGATAATCCACCAATTATGTTAGCTGCAATGTATATATTTCTATATAGATTATGTTAGCTGCAATGTATATATTTCTAAATTTATTGTACAGAATGTGTACATTTCCATCTATGCAGGTGTAAAGAAATAAGCAGTCTTTGAAAGAACAGGAGTGATTGTAAATGTTCCACACTGAACATAGTTCTCCAGGATTTAATATTTGTTTTGTCCCATTTTGCTATATGTTGGCAAAAGTATTTTAGTACTTCCTTTTAAAGTGAGAAAATATCGTTGGTCGAGATTGTTTTCTCCCTGGAGTGATATGGCTGTCCCTAGTCAGATGCAGTGCACTGCTGACCCAATCTGGTGTACAAGGGGATGATATATCTTAGATCAAATGATAAGGTGTTAGCTATCACATGTAATATAATTGGCAGTGGATGAGAAAAGCAAAGTGAAATCAGAAGGAGCTACTACTTTTGTTAACTAGAATTACATATAAAACAGTTCTCAATAACTAATTTGGGTGAAAAGCCTGAATTATTTGCTTCATCATCTATCCTAGTAAAAGCATATAATCTAATGACAAATTTATCTCAGACATATTATTTCAAAGCCAAGCAAATCATCAAGGGTTTGTGTTGTGGTGGTGGTAATATATCTTTATTAGACTATATGCTACTCTTGATATGTTATAAAGTTTTGTGATTTGTCTTGTTATCTTTTTAATGTACAGGCTGCTCCAAATTGCTCTGAAACAGCTTTAATACATATAGCTGATATCTTGGCAAGAATTGCTTCTGTAGAAGAAGGACTTATTTTACTTATTTATGGAGAAAATATGAACTCATGTGAAGAAGAAGAAAGGTATTTATCTACAATTTAAAGATGGATAATTATTTCAAGTATAGTTAGGTTTCCTGACCAGCCCCTAATAAAATGCTAAATGAGCTTGAGTATAATCTTGTTTTGAAGTAAGAATAGGTTCACTCCAGGTGGATTCATCTCCTCCCCTCCCCCCACCCAGGAACTTTTCTTCCAGATTTCCAAAGGCACATGTGATTGATTCAAGTTAAACCAAGCAAAAGTACGTAAGTAAGAAGTGAACTATTTTCCTTTCTTCCTTCTGTCATCAGTAGTTCTAGCTCTTTGCTTAACCAATGGTAATCTTTTGGTATTTAGACTTCTAGACTTTTTCTGTGCTTATGGATATGATGCAAAAAACATTCACACTAATATGTATTTTTATCTTTTCTTTACAAAAAATGGCCTTCCATTATATATATTACCCTGCAATTTGAGTCTTATATGTAACCATTGACATTTTCCAAGCTGAGTACCAAATGAAACATTAGTTTGTATAGCTGTATTATACTTTATTGTTTTCCTTTACCATAATTTATTCAAATATTTTCTCTGTTAATGGACATCAGGTTGTGTCTAGGATTTTGCCTCCATAAACAGCACTGCAATAAGTGTTCTTTTTCTTCTTTAGTCTGTTGATGTGATAGTTTATATCATTTGGTTTTTTTGAATCTCAAACCAACCTTACAAACCTAAATTCCTTACAACAATGGAAGAAGTGTACTTGGTTGTGATGAATAATTTCTGTGATGCTTCATTTGTAGTTATTGCGGATTTTTGCCATTTTGATGAGAGATACCAGTCTAGTTTTTATAACTTTGGGGTCAGGTTTTGGAATTATTTGAATGCTGGTCCTATAAATTAGGAGTTATTGCTTCTGCTTCTATCTTATGGAAAGCATTGTAGGGAATTGGTACAATTTCTTCCTTAATTGATAGAATGTGCTAGTGACCTAATTTCAGCCTAGTATGTTCTATATCTAATAATTATTGATTCAATTTCTTTGAAAAATAAAGCTTATTCAGATTATTTTCTTCTTGTGTGAGTTTTAGTAGATTCTGTCTTGTAAGGAAATAGTTCAGTTATTTATGTTACCAAATTTGTGGGCACAGAGTTGCTCATAGTACTCCCTATCTTTTTGAATGCCTGTAGAATCAGTACTGATGGTCCTTTTTTCATTCTGATCTGAGTAATTTATGTCTTTTCTTTTTTTCTTAGTTAATCTGACTAAAGATGTCAATTATATGCTTCTTTCAAAAACTAGCTCTTGGTTTTGTTAATCTCTCTATTGATTTATTATTTTTATTGTCTTTTTTTTATGCTTTCTTTGAGGGGGTGGGGAAGAAGTGTTCTTTTTTTAGACAAAGCCTCATTTTGTAGCCCATGCCAACCTAGGATGAGTGATCCTCCTACCTCAGCATCCCCACCTTGCTTTCTTGTTTTTAATTTTATTGATTTCTGTTATAATTCTTGTTTCTTCTGCTTACTTTGGATTTAACTTGCTTTTCCTTTTCTAGTTTTCTATGGGTAAAACTTAGTTGATGAATTTTAGGTCTTTCTGTTAAAATATGTGTATTTAGAGCTATAAATTTTCTTTTAAGCATTGCTTTTTGCTGCATCTAATGAGGGTTTCTTTTTCTTTTTTTATATTGGAGCTACAACCCTGGGCCTTGCACATGCTAAGCACACATTCTACACTCAGCCCCCAGATTTTGATAAGTTACATTTCATTTTCCATGTAGGTCAGAATATTTAAAAATTTCTCCAGAGATGTCTTTGACACATTTGTTTGTCACAGATCCAAAAGCATACTTTATATAATTTCTGTTCAGTTTATAGCCCAGAATTATAGTATATTTGTAAATATTCTGTGTAAGCTTATATAATGTATATTCTCCTGATAGGCAGTAGCTGTCAGTTGTATCCAGTTGATTGGTGATCAGTTCAACTAAGTCCTTACTAACTACTGAATTTGTCAATTACTCATAGAAGAGTGTCAGACTCTCCAGCACTAGTAGTGAATTCAGCTAGTTCTCCCTACAACTCTGTTGGTTTTTGTTTTACATATTTTTGATGCTTTTTTGTTAGGTGCTTACACATAAAGGATAGTTAAATATGTCAGAAATGTGGAATTTCTGACAAGAAAAGCTGCAGGTGACAAGTGGAACCAGTTCAAGGGAGAGCCTGTACATGCTGCAAACAGTAAGGAAATAGGGGTGGAGCTACCCACACCTTTCCTTAGATCGTGACCCCTTGTGTCCCTGATTCTGGAAGTAGTGCAACAGGATTTAATGTTTTCCTTGCTGTATTTTGGTCTTGCTTTGGTCCTAATCCTCATTTCTGTGCCATTTCTCCCTCTTGGAATGAGTGTTTACTCTGTCTTGGAAGTGTATAACTTTTTTTTTTTTTTTGATTTTACAAGAGATCGCAGCTAAGAATTTGTCTTGAGTCTCAGAAGAGACTTTCAATTTGGACTTTTGAACAATGTGGGAACTGTTAAGACCACAGGGCTCATGGAGATAGACTGAAGGTATTTTCATTGTAAGACGGATACGTACCTTTTGAGGGCCAGTGGCAAAATGTTATGGCTTGGATATGCTGTGTCTCTCCAAAAGGCTCATGTGTTCAGAACTTGGTCCCTAGCTGGTAATGGTATTTTGGGAGGTTCTTAAAACTTTAGGTTGTTACCCCTATCTGGAGGAAATAGGTCACTGGGGGACAGATCTTTTCTCTCTTTCTCTCTCCCCCATTTCTGTCTACCATGAGGTGAACATTTCTCTGCCATGTGCTCCCACATCATGATGTTCTGTTCAAGGACACAGTACCAAGTGACCATGGACTAAACCCTCTGAATCTGTGAATCACAGTAAATCTTTCTTTCCATAGTTGTTCTCAAAGGTACTTTGGTCACAGTGACAAGAAAGCCAACTAATACAGGTTCTAGACTCATTCTACAAAGCCAATATGATTCTAATGCCAAGTCTGTATGGACACATACAAAAGAAAACATAGACTAGTTCCTCTGATGAACATAGATGCCAAAATCCACAATGAAATTCTTGGAAATTAAGTTCAACAGCACATTAAAAACACAATACACCATGATCAAGTCAGTTTCACTCAAGGGATGCAAGGATCATTCAACATATGCAAATCAATTACCCTAGTACAGCATATAAATAAAATTAAGGAAAAAAATATCATTTCACGTGATGCAGAAAACCCTTTGGCAAAATTCGATATCCCTTCATGATAAAGGTATGAAGAAATTAGAAATAGGATGATCATGGAACGTCAATGTAATAAAGGCTACATACAACAAATCTTTACCCAATATTTTACCGAATGGGGAAAAATTAAAAGCATTTCCTCTAACATCAGGAATGAGGCAAGACTGTTTATTCTCTCCATTCTTAATGAATATAGTGCTTAAATTCTTAGCTAGAGAAATAAGGCAAGAAAAAGAAATGAAAGGTATACAAATAGGAAAGGAGGAAGTAAAGTTATCCCTCTTTGCAGACAGTAGGATCTCATACTTAAAATATCCTTAAGGACTCCACCAGAGAATTCTTAGCTGTGATAACCATTTTTGGCAAAATAGCAAGGTACAAAATCAACATACAGAAGTTATTAGCTTTTCTATATACCCATAATGAATGTGCTGACAAAGAAATCAGGAAAGGAGTCCCATTCACAATAGCCTTATAAATTTAACAAAGGAAGTGAAAGACCTCTGTAATAAAAAGCATAAAACGCTGAAGAAAAAAACTGAAAATGCTGAGCTATGTTCTTGAATTAGCAGAATTTTGTGAAAATGAATGTATTATCAAAAGCCATCTACATATTCAGAGTAATCCCTATAAAATTCCAGTGACATTATTCACAGAATAGAAAACTTAGTCTTAAAATTCATATGGAAGCATAAAAGACCATGAATAGACAAAGCAATCCTGATGATGAGCAGAAAGCAATCACAATACTTGATTTTAAATTATACTACAGAGCCATAACAAAAAGAGCATGGTACTGCACAAAAGCTACTTGTAGACCAATAGGATCATGTAGATCCTTATGGCTCATTATGTACAAAAATCAGTTCAAAATAGATCAGAGACCTTAATGTAAGAACTGGAAATTTGAAATTAGTAAAGTCAAACATAAGGAAAATACTTCAACTTGTATAGATAGGCAATTACTTTGTGACTAGGAGTTGCAATACCTCAGGAAATAAGGTCAAGAACTGCATCAAGTTAAAAAGCTTCTGAGCAGCATGGGAAACAAATACCAGAGTAAAGAGACACCGCTGAGATGGGTGAAAAAATCTTTGCCAGCTATTCACCCAACAAGATTAATATCACAAATATACAAAGAACTCAAAAAATTATGCACAAAAGGAACGAACAATCCAATGAGTAAATGGGAAAATGAACTGAACAGGCAGTTCTGAGAAGTACATGAAAATGTTCAATATTTTTAGGTATCAAGAAATACAAATCAAAACAACATTGAGATTCTATCTCATTCCAGTCAGAATCGCTGTCATCAAGTAAAGAATAAATACTGGGAAGGATGCAGGTAAAAGGAATCCTTATACACTATTGATGGGAATATAAATTAGTGCAACCACTATGGAAATCAGTGTGGAGGTTCCTCAAAAAACTAAAAAATGTACTGACAATCCTGCTACACCACTTCTGGGCATATACCTGAAGGAGTCAAGGTCATCATGCAATACAGATATGCACACCCATTTGTTGCAGTCCTACTCACAATAACTAAGTTGTAGAATCAGCCTAGGTGCCCATCAACAAAAGAATGGATAAAGAAAATGTAAATACATGCACACATATGAGGAATGGAGTATTACTCAGCCATAAAGAAGACTGGAATCATGCCATTTGTAGGTAAATGATTGGAACTGGAGAACATCATGTTAAGTAAAATAAGCCAGAAAGACAAGTATCACATGCTTTGTGTTAATACATGGATCTAGAATTTTAAAAAATACGTGGAATAGAAGGGGTACTATTTTGCAATTGGAAGCAACCAGTAGGAGGGGAAACAGGGATAAAAGAAGAGAATTTGAGGGTGAACCTGACCAAAGTACATTTATTTATGTGTATCTACATATGTACATGAATATGTATGTATATATGAAAATGTCATGATGAATCTATTGTTTTGTACAACTAATAGACACTAATTTAACAAAAGGAATTATTTCACCTGGATATTCAGTGTGTAGTTTAAAGTACGTGTTCTGATTATTTCTGTTGACAAAAGGCCAGGATAATCTCAAATGTCCAGTAGTGAGGTTTGTTCATTAAATTATATTTGCACAGTTTAGCATGAGCAGCTAGCTGTAAAAAGGCATTAGGCAGATTTTTGTGAACTGCTGTGATGTTATCTTCAGTATATAGTAAGTGAAAAAAAGTACAGAAAAGGACATAACAGAAGAGAACATGAATAAACTTTTTATTATCAAAGGGGAATCATAAATGTACAATCTGAAAAATGGGGAAAATGGTTTAGGGGAAGAAGAGAAAAATGGGGAGAAGGATGTATGGAGGAGAGATACTTACTTTGACTTTGGACTCATGTAGCAATTTTAGGTACTATGTGTCACACAAATGGTGACAGTGACAATTTTTAAAAACTACAAAGCAAATTTGTAGAAACTTATCAATTAACTTAATGACATACTCATCCAGAATGAAAAGTTCTTATTGATGTATTCTTTGTTCTTTTTTCATTTTCTTTTTATCTTTGTCCTTTTTTTTTTTCTTTTGGCAGTATTTGGGTTGGATTCTTGGCCTCACACTTGCTAGGCAAGCATTATACCACTTAGGCCAGTCTTTTTATTTTATTTTGCTTTCGTTAGTTTTCTGATAGGGTCTCCTGCTTTTGCCCAGACTGCCCTTGGACTGCTATCCTCCTACCTATGCCTCCCATGCAGCAGGGATTTAAGAGGCCACTACCATGCCCATCTTATTTTTGAGATAGTGTCTTGCTGTTTGATCTGGTTGGCCTCAAACCATGATCCTCCTATTTCTGCCTACCACTAGCCATCATGCCTGGCAATCAATCTATTCTAATGTAAAAAACATCTTCAAAGTAATTGTAATATGCATTCAGTATTTGTTTAAAAATAATGTTTGTATTGCTATTTGAAACTATTATGCATAATTACAAGAAAAAATTTGTAACATCACAAGAAACTAAGATTTCAGCCTGTGAGAAAAAAGTATAAAATTAAAGAATAAATGAAAAACCTGAATATCCAATTCATAATGGAAATATAATTATGAACTTAATTTCTCTTAAAAATTACATTATTACAATACTATCACTGAGAAGACCTGAAACTAATGATAGCTTCTTGACTATTAGCTGGCCCCTATATTGTGATCTCTCAATATCTTTTTGTTCTAAGAAGGGGGAAGAGCCCTTGAAGAAGTGGCTGATTCTGGATCTGGGCCAGGAAATGTGCAAGATGACCTGGAGTTTCTTGATTCTGGAAAGTGAGGAAGCTCTCTAAGACAAATGAGATAGTGTCAAAAGTACTGTGGCTAACCACAAGTGGCTTGCTTTTCTCTTAAATGGGCAGTTTGAGGATCAAAGAAGTGATGACTGCAATGGATTCAATATATAAAGTATATAGAAACGTTAAAAAGGTGGTAAATAAACAAGCCATGAGTGGATTGTCTGTGACCTGATAGGGCTGCTATGGTACCTCTGCATCCCTGGGCAAACTGATAAAGATCGGAACACTTTTTAATCCTTCCTGTACAAATTATATCACATTTAACAAACTACTCAGGAAAAGTTCTTCTTAGAAGAAGTCTTGCTAATAAGTGCAAAGAAAACAATGTAATTAGAAACACACATTTGATCATGCCTAAACAAATTGTAGATCCTAAGTAATGATCGTCAGTAATTATCATCAGGTGAGAAGTCCATGACAAGGACTTCCTTCTGGGTAGGTTCGGTTGATTCCCTCTGAGAACTGATTTTTAGCATCATCAAAATTGTGATAACCAGGTAAGTTCTTTGTACAATAGGAGGTATACAACAGAAACTGCCCCCATGAAGCTATTTTGCCAAGGAGGAAAAAAGAAGTAGACAAAATTGAACTTAAACCTCTAGATCTAATGATCTATTTGTAGGAAATATGGGGAAATAGAAAAGTGGGGATAAATGACACCATGATGAAGCAGTTATTACCCGAACAAATCATTGGCAAGGGGAAAAAGAAAACACCGGGCCTCAGTGACCACAAGACCTAATGCCCTCTGCAGAACTTGTTGTTTTTCTAATGTGGACATACCTATCGTAAAAAGACATGTTTAAGACAACCAGGAGGAATTTGATTTCAGCTAACAAGATAATAAGAAATACTGATTTTTATGTTTTTCCATCGGCATTTAAAACAGAAACTTGTTATTTAGGGCTGTACACTGAATGATGTAACACGATGTCTGGGTTTAGCTTGTGTTGCTCAAGTTTGAATCGGGATAGGAGGTAGAATATTCACACTATTGAAGGAAGATGAAAAGCATGTGAGATTCAGTTCCATGTTCAATCTACTACCTACTGCTTTTGTTCTTAATTTTTTTTAAAACTAGAGAATATAATGAAAAGTGTGTTGCTCTGGAGCTAGATAGCCCTGGTTTCTATCTCATTTCCTTACCGATATTATGCAAGTTACTTAACTTCCATAATTGAAAGCTTAAAGACTTATTAATACATACAAGCTTTAATTCTGCTTCCTTATCTGTAAAAATTGAATAATATACCTAATTCATAGGATTATAGTAAAAATATATAAGTACACTTAAAATACATAGAACAGTGCCTGACAAATTATGAGCATTTTATCTGTTACTATTATTACTTACCTGTTATTACTAGTAAATATGTCTCAGTCTTTGTTAGAGGGGAACTAACAAAGGGGTGGGAAATGTGTCAGCAGTGCTAGTAATGGAGAGTTTAGGGTTCTGTTTTTAACTATAATATCAAGAATACTTTCCTATGTGACATTTTTAAAGTATATGCAGTTTTGTTGTTTATTTCTTATCTGGTTGTTTTCCTCCATTACTACACATGGGTGGTCCATGGATAGGAACATGAATACTGACTTGTCTGGAAAAGCTATTTAGGGCAACTAAACATATGAAGAGTTGTCATGATTAGGTATAACCTTTTAGGTAGTGTTTTACACAGTCAAGACCATGTGACTTTGAAATCACTCTTAGGTATCATCTTTCAGTTCTACAGGTGCTCATATAATTGCCCAGTTTTCAAAGAAACTCCTCGACGAAGATATTTCTATTTTTTCTGGATCTGAAATGTTGCCTTTGCTTAAAGGAGCTTTTATTTCTGTGTGTCGCCAAATCTATGGTACATGTGAAGGCTTGCAGGTGTTACTTCAGTACAGTTTGCATGAATCTATAGCAAAGGCGTGGAAGAAGGTAAGAGTTTTCAGATTTCCTTTTTCATCCTTGCAGATGTTTATTTCAACTATAGGCATCATGATAATAACATATTGTGGGTAAAATACTGGGGCAAATATAACTTCTTCAGTATCACAGTACTTAGGATGCAATGCTTCTTGGCATAGGAGTACTTCAGTACCTCCTCTCAGTGGAACAAGGCTCTGAGCTTTAACTGAATATTGCAAAGTCTCATCTTCTGGTAGAAGAAGCATTAGATAAGTTCTCTTTACACAGACTAATATTCTTCTTTGAAAGTTATTTCTGAACAAGTTTTAGAGAAAGCTGGGTTTTGTTATGAATACTAAAAATAAAAAGTAGCAGTATATGTATATATCAGTGGTTTACTAAGCCTTGTAACCTCATTTTATAAGGTGCATTTATGAAAATACTTTATATATTTAATAACCATATTTATATACATACACACATACATATGTATATCTTCTTTTTTCCTTTTTGATTTGTTGAGACAAGATCTGACTGTGTAGCTCAGGCTGATCTAGAACTTACTGTGAACTTGTGATTCTCCTGCTTTAGTTTCTCAAGTGCTGGAATTGCTGGTGTGTGCCACCATGCCTGGCCCAAATAATTTAATTTTTGAAGGTAACCTAGTTTTTAGTTTGATTACATTAGGGAATAAAAACTAAAACGGCATATAAGAGATCATATGAGTCATGCTATCAGTAAGAAAAAGAGTAATATAAATTAATTTGTTACTTTTTTAGACAAATTTGTTATCAGAAAGAATTCCTACTCCAGTGGAGGGTTCTGATTCTGTTTCTTCAGTAAGTCAGGAATCCCAAAACATGTAAGTACAATTATTAGTCATTTGTTTATTACATTTGCTCTAATCATTTAAAAATTATTAAAATGTAATAGAATACTACATAAACATTTTTATAGGAAGGTAGATGTATTTGTACAGGCTCAAGAAAAATTATAGTTCAGAGGACTATTAGAGGTTATGTGGTACTTGGAGCCTTTAGAAAAAAATCTAGCAGTGCTTACCATACTTACTTCATCCTTTATTTACATTTTTGTGTAGGAAACATGTTTCTAAAAAATTTGGAGAATTACCAAATACTAAAGTTGGAAAGTTAATTGGAATGTTTAGTAGAAGTAAACGTTTCTCAAATGTCAGTGAAGTCCATTTATAATTATTTTTTTCAGAATGTTGTGGGATTTCATTTTAATTAGGTTTTGGCATTTGAAAATCATTTAAATCAACATTTATATCAAATTTTAATGTGGATGTCTGTTTCTTTACAAATACCAATAGGATATGGAGTCAGATTAATGGGGAGTTTTTGAAACTAAGATGTAGTGACATATGTTCCTGGAGTTTCTTTGAATTTTGTAATTGAAACTTGGCAAAGTCTAAAAAGATCATAATTAGACAGCGCTTTATAGAATAGCCTTTAATAAAAAACGTTGAATTTGAATTTCTTTTTTTTTCTAGATAGGTGTAGTTTAACTTAAACAAAAAATTTTGCATTTCCTTAACAATGTAATGGTTCAACAAAGAGTTAATTCTCTAGAAGTTTTAATATGTTTTTCTAGTACAATTATGAAACACATCAACTAGTATTTTTTGTTTTCATTAAGGGGATGAGAAAATTTCTGTAATTTATTTAACATGTAGGTTTGTTTTATTTGTAATCCTCTACTTTGATTTGTCACTTACGCATTTTCATTCACGCATTCATTTTTACTCACTCATTCAGTTATTATACCTCACGCACTCTGCTTGGTTTGGAGGATGTATATAGACTTTAAGGAGCATATTATGTAGTGTAAAACGCGAATAAGCATCTACAGCATGGCCATATGTTCTCTTCAGTTCATGATATGGGTTATGCAGGGTCATGAGAGCCAACTTATGGGAAAAGTCTTCTCAGAAGGTATTATTTTCAAACTGAGTTATTAATAATGTGTGAATATTGGCCGGGTGTGGTGGTGGATTGTCATTTGAGGCCAGCCGGGGCCAAAAATTAGTGAGGCTCCATCTCAACAAATAAGCCGGGTTATATCTGTTACCCCAGTTATGTGGGAGGCGTAGGCGGAGTATGACCATATGAGGCTAGTCTGGGCAAAAAACATGCAGCCATATCTGCAAAGTAATCTAAAGAAGCACAATAGGTTGGGTGCATGATTCAAGGCCCTGAGTCTAAACCCCTGTAAGCCTCCCTACCCTAAAGAATATAATTGTGAGATAAAAAGGGCGGTGTTACTCCAGATGGCAGAAAGAGTGTGGTTAGTAGGCCAGAAGTGATAGGGAACATGATTGATGTATTTAACATTTAACTGACAAGTAATATTTTTCATTTCTGGTGTTAGAGTGGGAGGCAGCTAATAAGTTACATTCCACTGATTCACTTATGAATTTGAATTTTTAACCAATTAACAGAAGTAAAGGTGTCAGGCAAATCAAAACACTGAATAACACAGCTTTTTTAATGTTGATCTCAAAAGTTAGAGAAGTTTGGTCCAGTCATAATCAGCAGTGGACAGCTGTACGCTTTCCTCAAAAGCGGAAGTTACTGCCATCAAACTTAACTGCATAGTAGAGCAGAGCAGAATGCATATTTCCTATAGGAAACTGGATCCTGTAAAGGAAGAGGAGAGGCATTGCTTAACCATGCATACTTAGGTCATCTTCAAATCTCCTAAATTCCTCCTCATTCCATGGGGAGGGAGAAGCTGGGGTTAGGTGGAGAGAAGAGGCAGTATCACACCGAGACATTGCTCCACATGGAAACTTGATCACAGGCTCTATGATGTTTTCTGTATAAGTTAGGGCTTTACAGAGAGAGCCAACACACAATGTATCAATGAATGAGAGAGAAGATGATTTCTTAGGGGAATTGGCTCATACTGTTATGGAGACTAAGAAGTCCTGTACAGGCTGGCTGTAAGCTGGAGACTGTGGGATGCTGATGCACTGCTCAGTCCATGTCTGAAGGCCTGAGGACCTGAGAGCCTGCTGGTGCAAGTCCTGGAGTCTAAAGGTCAGAGAACTAGTAGTTCTGATTTCTAGAAAGGAAGAGAGACCAGTTCATCTTGTCTGTTTTTCTTCTGTCCCAGCTCCATCCAATTGGATGGTGTGTGTCCATGTTGATGGCAGATTCTTCACTTTCGTCCACTAAGACTTGCACACCAATCTCCTCTGGAAATACTTTCTCCAAAATAATGCTTAACCAGTCCAATGTCTTAAATAAAAGATTTAAGAAAGTTTTTGATAAAATGTAGTTGATTTCATTTTTGTCATCAAAATTCAATTCACCTCATATGAGTATTTTTTTGTTCTTTACTTTATTAAGATAGCTACTCTTGGATAGGAATTTTTTGTTCCTTGATTCTTTGGTGAAACACGAGTGACCAGCCATCTGGAATAGTGAACTAGCCTCATGTCACAGGCATCTGATCGCTGTTCCTAGAGTGAAGGAATGAATTAATAAATGAGACTTCCTTTAGCCTAAGATCCTAGTTTTTTTTGGATAGTACTGGGGTTTGAATTCAGGGCCTCATGCTTGCTAAACAGATGCTCTACCATTTGAGCCACTCTACCAGTCCCCAGTATTGTAGCTTTTAAAAGAAGGCACTGGTAGTAAGATTGATACTAAGATGATAAATGTAAAATTAAAGTAATCTATAAAATCTAATCAGTATTTTTGTGCTGCAGACTATTGTTAGGCATTTTGAGTTAGTACTTTTTGATAACATATTTTGGAGGTGCCCTCCCTATATTCCCATTTTTTAGGTGCTTAGATTACTACAGAAAAGACAGAAGCCATGATAGAGTATTGATGTTCTTTCAGTCTAACCATTGACCTGAAACCCCAAATAAAAGTTCTGAAAAGGTGGTTTGGTTTTATATCCATGACTTCAAGATGTGTGGGACTATCATTAGAATGAGCACAGGAAGAATGTAAAACAGAGAAAAATAAAAGATTCCAAACTTTCCCTAACCAATCATCAAAGGCCTTTGATAAAATTGGAAGGTGACTTAACAGAGGGACTCTGTGATCTGCAAGATCTTAAGGAAATTAAACACCAGAAATTTAATTTACATGCAAGTGTCTAACCCTCCATAATATCTAGCCATTAAAGAATGGAGTTTTTTAAGCTAATAAGTAGTATGATCTTTGCTTTGGCCCCTTGTGACTTTTATCATCCCTCTATCTTAAAAATCCAGAATATCTTTGCCAAAATTTGAAGGAGAATTAAGCAAAAAATATACATGAAAGCATGTTGACATTTTTATTTTCTAGAAATACATGTATTCTTGGATATATAGTGATACAACTTGAAAGTTTTTTTTTCAAGGTTTACTTGGGAGGAATCATGTAGCCTTTTTATTGATTTAATTTTCTTGAATTGCTAATGTCTCAGATTTCTATTTCTGCTTGTGACTTTTGATTATATTTTCTAAATGATAACAGTATATTTTATCTATATATTTACATTTTTTGGTATGTCTGTTTATGTGTGATCTAACAAAAATGTTCTTCAGCCATAATTATCTCCTCCTTTTTGATTGTTAGTATTTTTGGCCTTTCTTCTCTCCTAGACCTCATACAGATGAGTTTTTGTTTTATTTATGTATGTATGTATTTATTTAATTTTGAATTTTAAAATTGTTGTGCTGGGGTGCATTGTGGCATTTCCAGAAGTTCTTACAGTATATCAAATATATCGTACTTGAATTCAACCCCTCCACCATTCTCCTTTTAATAAAGGAGTAGTTTCAACAGGTTTCATTCATTTTCTATTTACATACTTGTTAACACAGTATTTACACTATATTCACCCTCCCACACCCTTTCCTTATCTCCTCCTCCCTCCTACTGGTCCCCCCCCCCCAACCCAGTCTTGTTCTGCCCTCCTGTTCACCAATTTTGCAAATGAAAAAAAAAAGACATTTTTGTTTATTTAATAGAGCTACACAGGGAGTTTCCTTGTGACATTTCTATAGAAATGTTTTATTTCCTCTGAAATTATAACCTGAATTGTTTTATTTCCTCTGTTTTTCTCCTTTCTACCTTAATCCCCTTCTTACAGAAATTTCAACAGGTTTACTAATCTCTTTTCCTTCCTCCCTTCCTCCTCCTTTTTTGCCTCTCTCACCTCCATAGGGGAAGAAAGTAAGTGAAAAAAGGGATTGAGAAGGGATGTTAAGAAAAGTAATCTATATTATATTAACACTTTTTGATATGCATTTTGATTTTATTATTAAGCTCTTGTAAATATTTTTTGAAATTTCTGTTTTTATTTTCTCTTTAACTCATGAAATATTTGGACTCATTTTTTTAGTTTCCAAATGTAGTTGTTTTTTTGCTGTTTTATTTTACGGTTCTACTCTTCAGAGACCATAGGTTGCTTATGTATCCTTTTATATTGCTTGGATTTACTTTGTGATTTAGTATGGAATCAATTACATCTGCTTTCTTTTTTTTGTGGGACTGAGATTTGAATTTAGGACTTTGTGCTTGCTCAGCTGGTGCCCTACCACTCGAGCTTATTTGAAAAGACTATTCTTCATTGGAAGCTGACATTTTATATATGTGTGTATATGTAATTATAGTGTCTCATTCCTATTACAACTATGCTTTTATTGTGTAACATTAATGTTATCAAATCTGTTTTGTGTTCTTACTTGCATTGTGTATTAGTTAAGAATGTTTCTGATAACTCAGTAAGTCTTTATTTTCCACATATAACATGAACTCTCAAGGAAGAATATTCAGGCATGATTCATTAGCTTATTGGTATTACTTGAGACAAAATCTCCTTTTGTCTTGTTCTCCATCACTGGTAATGTGTGCATTTTGCCTTCATGGTTGTGCAATGCCTGGAGAATCTGTAGATCTCACATCTGCTTGCTAAGAGGAAAATGATAGAGCCAAATGTTTGCTTTTTGTGATGCTTTGCTTTCTTTTTAATTTAGAAAGGAGTCTCGTATTTTTGTGAAAACTGTGTTTGGATTTATCATATGACCAGACAGAGGTGGGAGTTAGATGGGAGTTAGCAAAAAGGAATCCTAGGTGGGGGGTGGGGGTCAGTTGTTATTATTTTTATACAGTTTTTTCTTTTTCCCCTATCCTTTCACTGTTCACCATTTTAAGAAGTAGATTTTGTATTGTGGTACAATCTTTATATTTCTGTTTTTTAATTAGATGAGTTTAGGCTGCTATACTGATTATTTGGAGCTTTCTTTCTCTTTTTTAATGCTCTATGTTTCTTTTCCATTATTGCCCTATTTTGCATTGATAATTTTTTATTCCGATTTTTCCCTTTTCTGCTAGTTTTAAATTTATAAGTTGTATGTCTGTTTTTTTTAAAGTAGTTATCCCTAACATGTCCGTGTATATATTTAACTATATATTTTCTAAAAGAAGGTGTAAAGTAATTAGGTATTTGAATCATGCTTCGAAATCTAACCTGAATTTTAGCTTCTTTGACTAGCTATTAATCATGTACATATATCATAATAATTGACCTTGTAGTTTTGTTTTATGTTTGTAGTCATCTAATTTATTTCTTTACACTGTTAAATATTAAACTTGTTGAACATTTAGTATTTTTTCTTCCATTTATTGAAACTCTGTCCATTTTTTCTGATAAGCTTACTTTTTTTTTTCTTCATACTTTTAGGTTTCTAAAACTAGTTGTCCTTTAATTAAGATTTAAGGATGGTAAACTGTCCTCATTTTTTTAAGCCAGAAATTGTCTCATAATTGTTCATGGTCAGACACCTGGTCATTGTTATCCTGACTTTTCCCTTTATTGGGATCTCTAGTGTCTATTTTACAATAAGATCTTGCTTTATTAATGTTCTCACCAGATTTGTCTATATGTTCTCTTTAAATTTAATCACTGACAATTTGAGCTAAAATACTATCTTGTCAGTTTTGAGTATACTAAAAATAGATCTGCCTTTCTTTACCTGTTTCAGTATTGCATGGGAAGACAACTTGTTAGATGATTTACTAAATTTTGCTGCCACCCCCAAAGGATTACTACTTCTTCAAAGAACAGGTGCCATCAATGAATGTGTGACATTTATGTTCAACCAATATACAAAAAAATTGCAGGTATGATTTACCATCTGCTATAGGCAAAAGGAATTTTTCTGTTATAAAAGCTGTTAAGAACATCATTGTTTTCTGTGTATGAAGAGGTTATTAAGCTTCAATTAAAATGCCATACAGCATTGTAATACTTGATATTTATTTCAGGAAAGCGTTAGAGTTTATATTAGAGTGTATAGCTGTGTTTACAGATTTTAAACAGCCAGATGGAATTGAAAAATTCAGTTAACTATCCAGGTGTTTTATAATTATGATATCAAACATCTGGTGTACTGAAACAGGATGGAACTTCTAAAAGGAAAAATCTTATTGAGTCAAACTGTATGTGTCAATGAAGGTTTAGGCCTCAATGTTTTAAAAAATACAAAATTATTTATAGGGGAATTATATGCTACAGTTAAATAAAATTTATAATATAATGTATCCTTTAATAAGATAGCCAGAGACCATTGAGTTGTGTTTGGTTTTGTTTCTGTTATAATAATTATCTCTATCCTCCTGGGCTGTTAAGATATATGTATTCTTTTCAATATAGTTTTATCCATAGCTCCTTGACCTTTTGGCTAAGATTTAGTGTGGTATCTGTTCTTAGTTTCAAAGTATTTTCTTGTCTCTGGCAGCTGTCTTGTTTAGATGTTATTAGGTGTTGCCCAATGACAAGCACTCTACTCTTAAGCCTCTTCAGTTCTAATTTCCTGCTTTGATTTAAAGAAAACAAACAATCCAACATTTTTGTTGTCTCTGCCTGTGAAGAACAGTTTCTGAGTGAAGCCCTGACTTTTCCTTTATAAATAAAATGTATCTGTATTAGTTCATTGGCTTATGGTGGGTTTCTGTGTGCCAATACATGTTGTTATTTTATTGAAATGGACCTTGATTGTAGAGCATTTGATTATTTCTGTGCCTCAGTTTATGGCCTACTATCTCCATCCATGCTTGCAAGATTCCTCTTTTGCTCTATTCATTTTATTCTAGTGTCATTCCTAATTGCTAGTTCCATTTCACACATCCCCCAACCTCAAACTTTCACATTTAATTATTTGATATGTATAATATCCTTCACATGTTTGCTTCTTTTAGAATAAATAGAAAATTTTCAGATTTTGTAAGTTGACATAAATGTTGTGTTTTCCTTTCAATTTCCTCTGCAAGTTTGAATCCAGTTTTGTATCCCAATGAGCTCTTTAGTGCTCTTTTAAAATTTTTTTTAAAAAATGTAATCTATTCAAAGACATTTTCCTTTTATTCAGATTTTTCATACCTTGTAGATACACTGATATCATGAACTAGAATTAGATATTATGTTTTTAGATGTCATTTTTTTATGTTCATAAATTTTAACTCTCTCTACTTTTTTCCTCATACTGGTGGTTTTCACAGAAGGTATTCCCTTGACTTCAGCACTTTATAGCCTTATAATTTAATGCTTATTATCTCCATTATCACACTTTAATAATACTCTATACTCTTCAAGATAATTTTTTTTGTTATCTTATACTTGCTTTATTATCTTTTCAGTTTTCTTTTTTTTCCCAGTTTTTTTAAAAATTCATTTATTCATATGTGCATACATTGTTTGGGCCATTTCTCTCCTCTGTCCCCCACCCTCCTCGCTTCCAGGCAGAACCTGTTCTGCCCTTTTCTCTAATTTTGTTGAAGAGTAGACATAAATAATAATAAGAAAGACACAGTGTTTTTGCTAGTTGAGATAAAGATAGCTATACAGAACGATTCCTAGCAGTGCTTCCATGCACAAGTGTATTACAACCCGAATTGATTCATCTCTACCTGACCTCTTTACTACTTCACCTCTGTCATTTTAAGGTTACTGTATTAGCTCCTCTGCAGTGGGCACATCAAATACTTCCAAGTTTTGGGTTTCCTACCTTTCCTATTCCTCCCATATGTGCTCTCCCCTTAGCATGTGACTGAAGTCCAAAACATTGCTGCATTTGCCCTAGATCTAAAGTCTGCATGTGAGGGAGAACATACAATTTTTGGTCTTCTGAGCCTGGCTAACCTTGTTCAGGATGATGTTTTCCAGTTCCATCCATTTACTTGCGAATGATAATATTTCATTCTTCTTCATGACTGAGTAAAACTCCATTGTGTATAAATACTACATTTTTTTAATCCATTAATCAGTAGTGGAGCATCTTGGCTATTTCCATAACTTGGCTATTGTGAATAGCGCTGCAATAAACATGGGTGTGCAGGTGCCTCTGGAATAACCTGAGTTGTATTCCTTGGGTATATCCTAGAGTGGGAATGCTGGATCAAATTCAGATCTATGTTTAGGTTTTTTAAGAAGCCTCCATATTGTTTTCCCAGAGTGGTTGTACTAGCTGAATTCCCACCAGCAGTGTACAAGGGTTCCTTTTCCCAACATCCTTGCCAATACCTGTTGTTG